TAAAGTTTATTTATAAATCACAAAAAGATTTAAATAAAACAACATTATTTACCTTTATGATATTAGCAGCGTAAAAATAATATCAACAAAGAATAACATATTTTCTGTGTACATTCATTTCAGTTCCACTTAACATTTCAAATATACATATTTATGTTAATATTTATGTAAATAAATACGGCTTTGAATGTCAATCAATCAGTCTTTATCTGTAAAGCACCAGCTCATAACACGAGTTATCTGGAGACTCTTTACTAAAGATCATATGTGATAATATACAGGAAGGATTTCTCCTTTGTTTTCCTCTTGTTCCCGTCGTCCACACTTCCTCCCCGCTGAGGTGGAGGTCGGAGCAGCCCGTGTGTGAATGAGGACGGCGGTGGTTGTGGCACCAGGGCCGGCTCTTGGTAGAGGCCATGTAGGCGGGCGCCCAGAGTCCCACGTGTTGGAGGGGCGCCACCAAATTTTAACTTGTTAAAATAAAAGTTCCTCCTTTCATCAAACGTTTTACAATGTAGGAAAAAGTGCATCTCTGTCTCCACCTCACCTGTCCCACAGTGACCACATGTTCTGTTTTCTTTTGGTTGCCATCATGGGCGGTTGTAGTCAGGGGCCAACAGGGGCCAGTGCCCCTGTAAAACTGAGCTTGGTCCCCCCTGTGGCCACCCCTCCAAAAGGAAGAGCCCCCCTAATAACACATACACAGAAGCCTATTTGACTCACAATCTAGTATTTGATTCTGTTACTGAAACAAATATAAATCATGGTATTTAATGATGTGCGCTATTATTTGGCAAAATATTTATATATAGATATTAAAGTGATCATCTTTGTCTATTTATCACCTGGCCCCAGTTTGGCCCCCTCAGTAAAAGTGGTCTAGAACTGTCACTTGGTTTTTGTGTCTTCCTGTTTGCCAGTTGGTGGTCAGTGAGCGTGTAGCTGGTCGGTCTCTGCTTTCTATCTCTGACAGTAGAGAGATGCTCTGCTCATTCATAATCTCTGTTGAGTCTGGAGGGTGTGTGTGTGGCGGGATGTCAGGTGGTTCTAAAAGTTGTTCTCTTGTGAATGTGAATGATTAGTGGGTCTGCTCTGCATGTGTCTGCAGAATTCAGCGTGTAAAGATTCTGTTGGATGTTCGTCGTGTGACGCTCTGATGACTGAGTGGACGCCATGCTTCACCTCCGTACGGCGCTATGGGCTGGATGACACTATCAAATATTTTAAGACAGATTTTAATTGAGATTTGGAAATTATAGAAGTTTCAACTAATTGCATTTAGAGTTCTTTGAGTTTCTCCCTCACTGCCATGTTGAAACTCTGAAGCTGTTAGAGGAATAACTCGTGCTGTGTTCAATGACATGACTATTTATGGGGAATTTGTGTTTGTTTTCGTGACATCTGGGGCGTTTTTGAATCTCTCTCTCTCTCTCTCTCTCTCTCTCTCTCTCTCTCTCTCTCTCTCTTTACTGTTTCTCCCTCTCTCTCTCTCTCTCTCTCTCTTTACTGTTTCTCTCTCTCTCTCTCTCTTTACTGTTTCTCTCTCTCTCTCTTTACTGTTTCTCTCTCTCTCTCTCTCTCTCTCTCTCTCTCTCTCTCTCTCTCTCTCTCTCTCTCTCTCTCTCTCTCAGGCTGCAGTTCCCAGCTGTGTCCAGCAGGGGGAGGAAGCACATTGTGTGTACACCATGCGGCTCCAGCAGGACTCAGATCAGATCCTTTTTATTTCCTGGGTTATAAATATAAACTCATTATAAATATTACTGTAAACAAGTAAAATCATCTAAAGGAGAACAGCAACACAACACAAGATTTAAATTTCAGATCAAGATGGTGGTCGCTGGGCGTCAGGCGGTGGTTGTGATGACATCACAGCCCGATGGTGGTCGCTGGGCGTCAGGTGGTGGTTGTGATGACATCACAGCACAATGGTGGTCGCTGGGCGTCAGGCGGTGGTGTGATGACATCACAGCACGACGGTGGTCGCTGGGCGTCAGGTGAACTCTCTAAATTTACTCGGCAGAAACTGTCGATGAGGGAGGTCAAGGGTCATTCAGATATGAATCATTAACTTTATTGACATGAGCGTGACGGACAGAGCAGCGAATACAAACAGTTAAATAATAAGAATAAAGACATTTTAAGAATAAAACGATATAAAAACAAATAAAGATATGGACGTCACACTCAAACTTTGAAGCTGAACTTTGACCCCTTTCCTATAAAAGTGTTTCATGAGATTAAAGCTCTGTTCATCATGTTTGAAAGATTATAAACACGCCTCCTTGTTGTGAACGAGTGAAATAAAAACGTCTGCAGGTCCCGACGTCGCTGCATCGCCTCACGTGTGACCTGTGGGATCCTCCCACGTTTCCACTCCTTTGATAAAAAACTCAAAATAAAACTAAGATCTTTTAATGTTTGAGGAAAAAAACAGGGACAACTTTTCAACGGTGGCCCTGAAGGTCATCTGCAGAAGCAGTTCTGGAAACTCAAAAACAGGAAGTCAGTGATTCCCCAGATGTTGGCTGCGCCCCCTGGTGGACGCCACAGGTACTGCAGGCCGTGAGATGAAACATTACACCATGAAATAATCTTAACCTGATGAATAATCTGTTTCAGAACTAAACCAACATCACTTTGTTCTCTATAAACAAAACAAGCAATCTCTGCTTCATGAAACCAAAGTAAAACCCGAAGAGCTGCGGCGTGAGAGACGAGAGATGAGCTGCGGCGTGAGAGACAAGCTGCGGCGTGAGAGACGAGAGATGAGCTGCGGCGTGAGAGATGAGCTGTACACCTGAAAGGACCCGACACGTTTGAGAAGAAAAATTTCTATTAAAATATTTCAGAATTAAAATCAGACAGTTATCTTCTCTCTGCTGTTAAACGTCCTCTTCCTCTTCCTCTTCCTCTTCCTCTTCCTCCTCCTCCTCCTCATCGTCTCCCTCGCCGTCACTGTCCTCCAACAGCCGCGACTGGAGAGCTGCTGTCCTCGGAAACGAGGAAGGTGATGTCACACTTGGGGGCGAGGAGGCGCACCGTCTCCTGAAGCTCCTCGCTGAAACTGAAGAGGAGGAGAGAAATATGAGGTGAGGGAGGATAATCAGAGCAGAGTATCATCTCGTATAAATATGGACGGTGAATTTAAACATCCTCTGCAGAGAAGTGAAGAGGAAGCACACAGACAGGAAGTGAGTCAACACAGAGCGCCCCCCTGCTGCCTGAGGGACAGAAACACAGAAGAAGAAGAAGAAGAAGTGGAAGTTTCCACTAAATAATAAAAGATTTGTTTTCATGTTTAAAAACACCGGGAACACGTCTGTGATTGTTTTCTCTTTACTTCCTGTTTCACGGACACAACAGCTGATTCATCGGCTGAACGCCATCTCCAAACCTCGGAGTCGTCAGCGACACCTTTAGAGGCTGGTTTCGTGTTTCCACTCAGCACCATTAATCTCATGTTTGTCCCTTCAGGCTCACCGTAGATATTCGTCCTCACTGCTAACGCCATGCGTCCCCGTGTGATTTGACCTTTGACGTATTCACGTGAAATAAAACACTTTGACTTCTAACTTTGTGAATCACTTTGCCTCCGTCTGATTGGCTCTTACTTTGGATGCTTCTGGTACACCGTCCCGTCCACCCCCACCGTGGTATTCAGACGGTCCAGCTTGCGGCTCACCCTCATGTGGTTGGCGATGGCAGCCAGGGCGGCGGCGCAGAGACGGGCGGAGCGAGAGGAGACGGTGTCGCAGACCAAGCGAACCACGTGGGCGTCGACCTCGTTCCACTTCAGATTCAGCTGTGAGAGAATCCTCCGAGCATTTTCCAACCCGCTGTCCGGCCTGAGAGAGCGTGAGAGAGGTCAATTAATGAGGTCAAATAAAGAAGTTAAATCATGAGGTCAAATCATGAGGTCAAATAAAGACATTTAAAAAAGAGGTCAAATAAAGAGGTCAAACAATGAGGTCAAATAAAGAAGTCAAATAAAGAAGTTAAATAAAGAAGTCAAATAAAGAAGTTAAATAAAGAGGTCAAATAAAGAAGTTAAATAAAGAAGTTAAATAAAGAAGTCAAATAAAGAAGTTAAATAAAGAGGTCAAATAAAGAAGTTAAATAAAGAAGTTAAATAAAGAAGTCAAATAAAGAAGTTAAATAAGGAAGTCAAACAAAGAAGTCAAATAATGAGGTCAAATAAAGAGTTCAAATAAAGAGGTCAAATAAAGAGGTCAAATAAAAAAGTTAAATAAAGAAGTCAAATAAAGAGGTCAAATAAAGAGTTTAATTCAATAGGTCAATTAAAGAGTTCAATTAAATAGTTCAAATAAAAAGGTCAAGTAACTAAGTTAAATAAAGAGGTCAAATAATGAGGTCAAATAAAGAGGTCAAATAAAAAAGTCAAGTAAAGAAGTTAAATAAAGAGGTTAAATAATGAGGTCAAATAATGAGGTCAAATAAAGAGTTCAAATAAAAAAGTCAAGTAAAGAAGCTAAATAAAGAGGTCAAATAATGAGGTCAAATCATGAGGTCAAATAAAGGTGACATCATGACACAGACATGTTTACTACCTTTGTTTGACTGTCTGTCTGACTTTGAAGAAGAAACTAAATGAAAACGAGTCGTCACCAGAAAAACTGGATTTCAGCCCCAAACAGAGAAAAGGTGAAGAAAGGTGCGTTCTGCCCTGACGTTGATTCTGACAGTTTAAGAGAGTTTGTTTCATGCCATTAAATCTGTGGTGAAACACGCACGCTCCTCAGAAGAGGGCGCCTACAGCCCAACACGTACCGCGGTGTGACCTCATCGTTGATCGTAGAACGATGTGACACAAAGGGTTGATGGGATGTCTGGCGCTGCCGTGTTGCGGCGACAAGCAGCAGTAGTAGTCAGTAGTAGTCACGAGTGCTTGCAGTGTGGTCTTTTATGTTGACTTTTAATAATCTTTTATGTGAACGGTGTCTACTAAATTTTCCTTGACTACGTGGATTAATCATGGATCTTTTGTGAGTGTTTTGCTTATGAACATTGTTGCCTTGGGGACTGTCATGAACATTCAAACAAACAAACAATCGGCCCTACAGACTCCAATATAGTCGGGACTTTCTTATTCAATGCAGCAATTCGGCTGTTGGGACTCTACCCGACGGCATTCCGCCGTATATCTGTAAACGCAGAGCTGATGCCTCGGAGCAGCAGACAGCGGAGCGGGGGAGAAGGCAATGCCAGAAAAGAGGAGAGCTACAGCGGCTGCACAGACCAGCCGGCAGTCGAGAGGCCACAGCGGCGCGAGTGAGGAAGCGTGGCCGAAAAGGAGGAGTGAGACAGAGGCTACGCAGACTCGGGATGCGGCGCTTGCCACTGCCGTCTATTATCCTCGGAAATACGCAGTCATTGAGGAACAAAGTTGATGAGCTTCAAGCGTGTGTGAAGTGCACGACCAATTTTAAAAATGCTTGTGTGATCGCACTGACAGAAACTTGGCTTACAGAGCACGATCTGAGCCGAGACTATGAAATCAAAGGTTTTGGCGAACAGCTGACTGGCAAATCACAGGGAGGGGGCGTGTGCTTGTATGTAAATCAGCGCTGGTGTAAGACTGTCATAGTTAGGGAAGCTCTTTGCAGCCCAGACATTGAGCTCTTACCCATTTCTCTGCGCCCTTTCTCCCTGCCACGAGAAATCCCACAAGTATTTATGACAGTGGTATATATTCATCCAAGAGCCAACATGGTGAATGCAACATCCACGATTGTCAATAGTTTGCAAAGCATTTCCCCTGATGCTCCACATTTTATTCTTGGTGATTTTAATTCTTGTTGCCTTAAGAAGCCTCTTGCTCATTATCACCAGTATGTAAAATGCCCTACAAGGTATGGTAAAGTGCTTGATATGTGTTATGGCACCATTAAAGCGGCCTATAAATCCTATGCAATAGCACCACTAGACTCCTCAGATCACAATTGTGTCTTTCTGGCCCCGGTCTATCAGCCGGCCCTCAAGAGAGGGAAAGTTGAGCGCATAGAGGTTCCTATGTGGACAGAGGGAGCTATTCGTGAACTAAATGGCTGTCTTTACAGTACTTACTGGGAAGTCTTCAAGGATTCTTGTTCTGACCTGGATGAACTGACTTCCACTGTGTCGAGCTACATCACCTTCTGTGAAAACAGGATTATTCCCAGGAAGACAATGACACTGTACCCAAACAATAAGCCCTGGGTCAGTAAATCCCTTAAGAGAGTTCTGAATCAGAAAAAGCTAGCTTTCCAACAAGGAGACACCACTCAATACAGAGTTGCTAGTTGCTCAGAAGTTTGTGAAAAAAAAAATCAAACTGGCCAAAATGCGATTTAAAGATGAACTAAGGAGTGGTAACTCTCGCTCTGCCTGGAGGGGAATTAAATCCATGGTCGGTATTCAGGACAAAAAAAAACAGGTGTTTAATCTCAATAAACCTGATTCTGTTTCAGCAGAAGAGTTAAACACATTTTATCTGAGATTTGATTCACATGATTTTACTGACGAACTGGCTGAGTTCAGAGGTACTTCAGAGGGCAGTCAAATACAGATTGACGAAATGGATGTCTGTAGGACACTCGAACAGACAAGTGTCAGAAAAAGCCACGGGCCTGACTGCATCACGGGCCGATTACTTAAGAACTGCGGCTTGTTCTTGAGTGGCATTTTTACATTCATCTTCCAGCTTTATCACAGAAAAAAGTTCCTGCATTATGGAAGGAATCCACTGTAGTACCTGTAGCCAAGGTTACAAACCCCAAAAAGTTGAATGACTATCGCCCTGTGGCGCTCACCTCCTTAGTCATGAAAGGTCTGGAAAGTATCGTCAAAAGGAGCTTACTGAATCATGTTCGAAAGCATAATTGACCCACTCCAATTCGCTTATCAAGCAAGGAAGGGGGTATACGATGCCACTGCAACATTATTGGATCTAGTTGTTGGGCACCTGGAGGGGCTGAAAACACATGCTCGTTTGTGCTTTGTGGATTTCTCATCAGCTTTTAATTGCATGCAGCCCCATATTCTTGCTCGTAGGCTGTCTAAAATACCTGACTTTGACTTTGGCACTATATGTTGGCTTGTCGACTTCCTCACAATGAGGTCACAAAGAACAAGGGTAAAGCATTGAAGCATTGATGTGTTCAACAGGTTCACCACAGGGATGTGTTTTGTCACCATTGTTATTTATGCTTTACACAAATGACTGTCAGAGTGAGTTCCAGTCCAGGTTCATAGTTAAATTTGCTGATGATTCTGTGATTGTCAGCCTCCTGCAGGGACACGAGGTAGGCCATGGTCCTGTTCTGGACAATTTCTTAAAATGGTGCAATGACTTCAACCTGCATCTCAATGTCTGTAAAACAAAAGAGATGCTGATCGACAAAAATCCACCTGACAAAGCACCAACGCTCATTAACAGCACAGCTGTAGAAACAGTGACTCAGTATAAATACCTGGGTACCATCCTTGATGAAAAACTGAACTTTGATGCGAACACTGACGCCATCTGCAAAAAGGCCAATCAGAGACTGTTCTTCTTGAGAAAGCTAAAGATTTTTAATGTCGACAAATCTCTTCTGAAAATGTTTTATTCATCTTTTATTGAGTCCATTTTGACTTTTGTGATGATCTGCTGGTTTGGTAACCTCAGCATCGTTAACAAAAACAGGCTGGGAAATATTGTTAAACTTTGCCGAAAGATAGTTGGAGTTGACTTGAATGATCTTGGCCATGTTTTTCAAGTAAGAGCCACTTGAAAGGCAAAGGCCATCTTGGAAGACCCTCAGCACCCCCTGCATGCAGAGTTTAGACTTCTGCCGACAGGGCGGAGGTTCACTTATGTAAGGAGGTCGAAATCAAATAGATACCTGAGGTCGTTTGTTCCATCAGCTGTTGGGTTTTTAAATAAGCTGTAGGTATTGTTGCCTGTACACTTTTAATATGGACTGTTGGTCCTTTGTCCCTTAACTCACTCACGCCCATCATGGTGATATCCATGGTAGTTATGTTTTATGTATGTATTTATGTCATTGTGCTGTTTTTATGGATGTATTAACTACCTCTGTTGCAAACCAAATTGCCCCTCGGGGACAATAAAGATTTTCAAATCAAATCAAACAGGTCAACAGATTCATTCAGAGTCCGGAGTCTGGACGTCTCACTGAATCTGTCAGCGAAGTCGTGCAGACGCTGTGATCAGAGTGAGCTGGGATTCAGAAAAATTTGTGGTTGTTTTCCTCCTTCAGTCAGCTCGCTTCCTGATTTGCTGTCGTTTTGTTACATGTGACCACCCCCCACCCCCCGCCATCAGGTGATCAGATGGTGTTTTTATAGAATCTCTGGCTGCAGACTGGAGCTTCATGGTTCAAGGGTTAAAGGGGTGCTATGTTTTGAATTCTTTACAAATAAAAACTAATTTGTCTTGGAGCATCTCGCCTCCACTTTAGCCCCTCCCCCCAGATCTGGATCTCCTCCCCGCCTCTTCACTAAACATGTAGGACCCCTCACTCACTCTTCGACCTCTGAGATGAACTTGGTCAGGAAGCTCTCGGGCGTCCGCAGCGTCTCCGACGTCTGACCTTCAAACAGCAGCTTGTCCTCCGTTAGCTTCAGCAGCAGCAGCCGGACGATTTCTCCCAGATACATCCCGCTGATCATCTTCTCGAAACTACGGGAGGAAACACAATGCTAACCGTATGATGTGAAGCAGAAGTAACCACGGTGACATCACCTCGCCGTCAGCCCCGCTCGCCATACGTACGTGTGGACGCCCGGGTTGATGGACGTCTTGTCCACCTCCAAGTCAAACTCTGTCTGGATTCCTCTCAGGGAGCCGTCGTCTCCGAAGCCTCCCCACTCCGTGTTGATGCACATGCGCCCGTCCTCACCCTCCACACGCTCCACGTTCTTCATCTCCTCCATGTAGCAGGCGTTGGTCCCCGTACCTGCAGCGGACAAAGACACACGGAGATGATGGAGTGGACCCTGACCCTCGGAGGTCTTAAGGGTTTGATGGACCTCAGCGTCAGACCATTGGGAAGCCTTTTGCCGCCATTGTTGAAAACGGTTTTGAAGAGGAATGGTGGCATGCATTAGGCTAAAGGTCCACGTTGTGTCCACCTTGAACCCAGACCGTTCACTCGGTGGACTTCAGTCCTAATGGCTAGGTCAAAGAATCCCTTTCCCTCAGCTCTGTGTGGTTAAGATGAAACTAAGAGCACATTCAGTGATTTTCTGGTATTTGTAGTTTTATCACTTTCCGTTCACTTTAAACTACAGATATTTCCTCCAGGTGTCTCATTGGTTACCGATGATCATGCCGATCTCACAGCTCTGGTCTCTGTAGCCACAGCTCATCATGGTGCCCACCGTGTCGTTCACCATGGCAACAGAGCCGATATCAAAGTCCTGCAGAGAGAGAGAGAGAGAGAGAGAGAGGGAGAGAGAGAGAGGGGGAGACAGAGAGAGGGAAAGAGAGAGAGAGAGGGAAAGAGAGAGAGGCAGAGAGAGAGAGAGACAGAGAGTGAGAGAGAGTGAGAGAGAGAGAGAGAGAGAGAGAGCGAGGGAGCGAGAGAAAGAGTGAGAGTTGTTACTCTGGGATGTTTACAAACAACAGCTGCTTAAAGAACTTAAAGTGGGTAAAATGTAAACGCTGCCCCCAAGTGGCCAAAGAGTCAAAGAAAAAGTAAAGATGCCTGTGTTTGTTTTTTACATTTAAAGGCGACCTCTAGTGGTCGTTACAGGTATGACAGGTCAGATTCTAGGAGAGAGCGAGGTCGCTAGGAGCGACAACAAATGATGTTTAAACCGTGGTGGCGTGCAGGGTGACAGACTGACCCCCCTCCTGTGGATCGCCTCCTTCAGTAACTTCACCATGTCCTCGCCCTCCACCCCCGAGCAGTTAAAGCCTTTAGTCCAGCGAATCAGGATGCTCTGCAGAGAGGACATTAATGAAGGTCGTTAACCTCCGATGACATCATTCTTTACATCGAGACGGAAAAACTGTTTGTGTGTGTGTGTGTGTGTGTGTGTGTGTGTGTGTGTGTGTGTGAGACACCTATTTCTTTTTGTTCGCAGGGGAAGGAGAAGGTGAAGCCCAGAGGAAGAGTTTGTCCTTTGAGATCCTGAGAGACGAGGAAATCACTGAGACACTTCGCGATGTGGTCAAACAGCTGAGAGAGAGAGAGAGGGAGAGAGAAGGGGGGAGAGAGAGGGGGGGGAGAGAGAGGGAGAGAGAGAGAAGGGGGGAGAGAGAGAGGGAGAGAGAGAGGGGGAGAGAGAGAGCGAGGGAGAGAGAGAGAGAGGGAGAGGGAGAGTCAGAGAGGGGGGAGAGAGAGAGGGAGAGAGATAGAGAGAGAGAGAGAGAGAGAGAGAGGGAGAGAGTTAGAGAGAGAGAGGAAGAGAGAGAGAGAGAGGGAGATAGAGAGAGAGGGAGAGAGAGAGAGAGGGAGAGGGAGAGAGAGACATATTGTAACACATATGAAGGTCTGAGGTGTCCTGATGACGATGCAGCTTGAAGCTTTGTAGGAACTCAAACGTCTGCTCGTCCTCAAAGACCCTCGGTGACCAGCGATATTTAAACGATGGCGTGTGTCACCTGCTGACCGGTCCCCAGCATCATCTCCTTTGGGATGGCACAGAGCTGACTGCCCACTGTCTGCAGGTCCTCCACCACGCGGACATGAAGCACCCGGAAGTTTGTTCCACCCAAATCCAGCGCCAGGAAGTCGCCTTTCTCTGTGGGCGGGGACAACACAATTACGGTGGCCCTAAAGGTCAAACGTTTCTGACCACAGGAAACACTGAGTGCAGAAACCAAGACGTGTAGTGAGACGTCTTAATGAACTAATGTTTTAATGTTGAGATGTTCCTATAGTCGACCTTCAGGGCCACCGTACACCAAGCTTAAAGGAAGAATGTGTGACTTTTTGAGCCAGTAGGTGTCGCCCTTGAGCTCCAGCATGAAACCAAAACAAACTGCTGTTTGGCCACGCCTCCTCTATACTGAAGCCTCCGCCCTCCTCCAGAGACACACCTCCAACCCCCCTCCACTCTCGTTCACATGAAGGAGTTCAGTGGTGGACAAAATTGTGCAAGACACGCTAACTAAATAGCTTCACATCACTTGTGTCCTGCATTGTTGTGTTAGAATGCTAATGTTAGCGCTCTTTAGTTAGCTCGTAGCTTCACATTAGCTGTGTCCTGCATTGTTGTGTTAGCATGCTAATGTTAGCGCTCTGTAGTTAGCTCGTAGCTTCATGTAAACTGACACAGAATGAGCGTGATCTAAAAACTCTTACTAACATCCAAATAATCAGTGAGTACGTTCTTCTTCTTCTCTCTAGTTCTTGACTAAAACAGCTTTTATACACAAGGGGAGGAGCCGGCCGTCCCGTCCATGTAAACACGGCTCTGACAACAACACAGCCAGCGGGACTCGAGCTTCTCCCTCATTGTAGACAGTCAGGACTCAGAGACACATTTACACAGGACAGACTTTATGATTTATTTATGTGGAACATGTTGAACATTCTTCCTTTAATGATGGGGAATAAAAAACATTTATTCTATGATTTAATGTCATTAAAATGTTTTCCACCTTCACGTATGGATACCTGTTGTTTTATTGGCTTTGATGACGTGCTGCTGTAACAGCATTATAAAGATATCTGATCTCAGGTAGTCCATGTTTCTATCCCTCACCTGTCCCGTCAGGCGTGGCTCTGACGAAGCTGGGCAGCATTTTGACGGGCGCCTTGTGGTGCGTGTGTTTGCCCAGACCTCGGACCATGTCCTTCTTCAGCTGAGCAGAAACCTGCCGCAGCTTCTCCTGAGACAGACAGAACAGGTCCAGGTACACCTGCACCTGCACACACAGGTACACACACAGCAGTCAGTCACAGTTACACCAGGTGTTTCAATAAATAAATAAACTTCAAGCACAAGTGGAAGACAAACATTAAATTTTATGCAGATATAAAAACAAGTCAGGACTGAAATGAACCAAACAAACATCCATCCATCATCTAAACCAACTTCCTGTTCAGGGTCACAGGGGGGGCTGGAGCTGATCCCAGCTGTCATTGGATGAGAGGTGGGGTTACATGCTGGACTGATCACCAGCCAATCACAGGGCTGACATATAGAGACAGACAACCAGACACACTCACATTCAGAGAGTCAGCAGTTAACCTAACAAGCATGTCTTTGGACTGTGGAAGGAAGACGGAGAACCAGGAGAGAACCCACACATGAACGAGGAGAACATGCAGACTCCACACAGAGAGACTTCTGAAGGACGGGGATTCAAACCAGGAACCTCCTCAGAGAGTCCCGTCAGACGGGGATTCAAACCAGGAACCTCCACACAGAGAGACTCCCGTCAGACGGGGATTCAAACCAGGAACCTCCACACAGAGAGACTCCCGTCAGACGGGGATTCAAACCAGGAACCTCCACACAGAGAGACTCCCGTCAGACGGGGATTCAAACCAGGAACCTCCTCAGAGAGACTCCCGACAGACGGGGATTCAAACCAGGAACCTCCACACAGAGAGACTCCCGTCAGACGGGGATTCAAACCAGGAACCTCCTCAGAGAGACTCCTGAAGGACGGGGATTCAAACCAGGAACCTCCTCAGAGAGACTCCTGAAGGACGGGGATTCAAACCAGGAACCTCCACACAGAAAGACTCCCGTCAGACGGGGATTCAAACCAGGAACCTCCTCAGAGAGACTCCTGTCAGACGGGGATTCAAACCAGGAACCTCCTCAGAGAGACTCCTGAAGGACGGGGATTCAAACCAGGAACCTCCTCAGAGAGACTCCTGAAGGACGGGGATTCAAACCAGGAACCTCCTCAGAGAGACTCCCGTCAGACGGGGATTCAAACCAGGAACCTCCTCACAGAGAGACTCCCGTCAGACGGGGATTCAAACCAGGAACCTCCACACAGAGAGACTCCCTTCAGACGGGGATTCAAACCAGGTACCTCCTCACAGAGAGACTCCCGACAGACGGGGATTCAAACCAGGAACCTCCTCACAGAGAGACTCCTGTCAGACGGGGATTCAAACCAGGAACCTCCTCACAGAGAGACTCCTGTCAGACGGGGATTCAAACCAGGTACCTCCTCACAGAGAGACTCCCGACAGACGGGGATTCAAACCAGGAACCTCCTCACAGAGAGACTCCTGTCAGACGGGGATTCAAACCAGGAACCTCCTCACAGAGAGACTCCCGTCAGACGGGGATTCAAACCAGGAACCTCTTTGCTGTGGGGGGACAGGACTAACCCCTGCACCACTATGCAGCTCTGACACAAATCAGACACTTAAACACAGATGACATCATTTCCCCAGCAGGGGGCAGCATGTGTTAAAGTCTGCAGCTGCAGGGTTGGATTTCCAAACTGAGCAGAAAACATCCAAATAAATAAACGGAATAAGTAAAGGAAACATTGCAGGCCAGTTCCCGCTCACAGCGGATGTTAATGATGATGATGTAATAAAGTATGAGTATTATGCAGAGGTTCAGGTCACACCTGTGCTGGAGACACTAATAATCACACCTGAGAGATCTCAAATAGGAAGTGGATGTTCCGGTTTAGATGCAGCTCAAGGTATTTTAGGAATCTGCCGTCTCTCTCTCCACGGAGAGCTTTCTTCTTCTTCTGGGGTTTTTACTGAAGCTGGAGAGGAAACGCGGACTGAGTATGCAGAGAGGCTGGCAGGTCACTGTTTCAAATGAAATCTTCAAGAATAAAGAAGACCAGAAGGAACTCTCTGTGCAGCGCCCTGCAGAGGCTTTAGACTCCGCACTGCTGAATGTCCCCGTCTACATCCTGGCACTCTAAAGGCTTCAAAGAGACGTGTGTGTAAATCTGTCTCTATAAGACGTGAATCATCTTTAGACAGGTTGACTTCCAGTCATGAAGGAGTCAGACTGAGATCATGATGTTTACCTGCTGCTCTCTCACATTTAGTTCAGGTACTCTACGAGTCAGGGTGTCTCATAGACCCACAGTGTTGATGCGTCTCTCCTGCTAAAGCCGGACGTTTGGAAGTCTGGTGTGCAGGAAAAGGCCGAGCTGCTAAAACACATAACAATCCTCTGGAGGTGGCGGGAACAATTCACATTTCTCTTCCTGTTTCCAGCTTCCTTCAAAGCTGGAAAATCACTGCACAGACAAGTGTTCAAAGATCTGCACCGACCTATCTCTGATATCACAGTGATCTGGTTTCAGTGTGCTCATTGCACTAAACCTGTTGAATCCAGACACACCTCTACAGAACCCTTCAAGCTGTGAATGAGGAGTCATGTGGGACTAGTTTAGGTGTATCCGTGTTTCTCTAAGTCCAGGTTTTCTGATGAAGGCTCACTCTGACGATCTGTTGTTAAAAACACCTCAGACAAGTTACAACAGTGCTGCTGCTGCAATCACGTGACGATGAGGGAGGAACTCTGGGAAAGAAGCTCCCACACAGAGCTCTCAGGAGAAGAGCGCGCTCGTATGACCATGACTTCAGTGTTTGGTTTCACAAACATCTTCATTTAAAGTCCATCATGGTCATCAACCAGTAAATCAGTAAACAGGTGTGTCATCACAAGCCACAGCCCTGAACACTTTAGAAATCCTTTCCCAACAGTTTCAGAGATAATCCTGGATCAGGATCAGGATCAGACACACAAACATAAAATCTGGATCTTCTCAATCTTTTATTCTCCTTCTCGTTTCAGTTTCAGTAATTTTCCACCGACGTGTTCTCTCAGGCCTCGTCTCTCTCTTGCTTCACCTCCTCCTCTTGTCTCTACACGTGGTTCACCTTTCTTCATTCCTCCATCGTGACTATTGTCTTTAGATGGCCTTCAACACGTACAATAAAAATAACACTCAGACCTTCATTTAGTCTGAGACACATTTAAAGCAAATATTATTTATAAGATATTTGACTATTACCAGGAAACCCTGAGGTAGCACGACCACACATCCCCATTAGACCGGGAACATCCTGTTTTCCAGCTCTGTGTCCCAAACCCCCAAATATCTATAAACACAGTTCCTGTCCCGCTTTTAACCAAAACAATACAGAAACAGACCGGTAGATAGACCGGCGACGCTAATCAAGCTAACGTAACAGAGGATACATTAAGAGAGCCTGATAGCTGCGATGAGGGATGCCACATTAATTAAGCTAACGTTACGGAGGTTTTGAATTGTCAGGAGTAACTGCAGCTGTAAGAGAGAATTAAGACCGAGGTGCTAAAATAAGAATATCACATGTTTAGTAGAATATACTTTAATAAAAGTACCACAGTATAATCAGAAAAGTTAATTAAAACTGATAATGAAGCGTTGAAGCTGGTTGGGGAGGACCTGATTTTTGACTTCATGAACATTTACATTTATTTGAAACACTTTTTTTTAATCAACAGAGGTCTCCTTTAGAAATGAAGCTGTCAGGTAAATGTGTTATAACAATCATAATGAAATGTCCTCCTTTAACTGCTGCTGCTTCAGATTAAAAAGGAAAACACTCGGGTAAAACAGCTCAAGTGTTGTTCTTGTGTAACTGTGTAAGATCTCTCTGGTCGTCAAAAACACTCAACACTGTAATGGATAAAAATTCACCGCTTCTGAAAAGTGGGCGTGATGTCAAATTAAGAAATGTTTGATGATCGTCTTGAGTCACACAGAGAGAGATTTCTTAATCTGAGATCCTCCCAGCAGCTCCGACTCCCTGAAATAGTCTGTTTGTTTCTTCACAACAGAGAGACGGTTTTACACAATCACAGTGAAGCAGCCGGACAAATAGAGAGAGGTTAAAAGTACGTGTGTGTGTGTGTGTGTGTGTGTGTGTGTGTGTGTGTGTGTGTGTGTGTGTTAGTGGTTAACAGAATTGGACCAATCAAAAACAGTTCCTGTTCTTCTAGTTCCTCCTCAGGTGACACGTACCTTACTGAGCGTGTCCGGGGGGATGCCGTCCAGGTGTAGGTTAGCTCCGCCCATTCTGGCTTTCTTTAACACCTGTGTGATGTCACCGTTAGCGTCTGTGCTGCTCATCTGGACAGAAGAGGTTAAAGGTTAATATGGTCTTAAATGACGCTCAAATATTTGTCTTTCTCCAACAGCTGTGTTTGGACTCACCTTCAATCAATATTAGTTTTACAGCCGGAAGTGGATCGAGTTGTTTTACTGCCAGTAGTCATCATGGCATCTGTCTTACTTTTAGCAACTTACTTTTAGCAACGTTACTGCTAGCGGCAGTTTTAGCAACATTAGGCGTTAGCGGTGTTGGTTTGACCCTTTGGCTCGAATGAAAATATCTCAAGAAATATTGAACCATTGAGGTTAAAGTTGGTTCAGATATTGAGTTTGTCCAATGGATCAGTCTGTGTGACTTTGAAGATTTAAAAAACTTTAACCACAACCAGCGTTAAAACGTCAAAAAAAAGGCCCGTCCCAAATCAAGACTAGAAAGGTGTTTCTGTTAGAGACCCTGATGTTCAGTGTTGATCAGTTTGGGGGTCAAATCAACGAGACACAAAGATAAAGATGAACGTCAACATCTGTCCAAGAAAGAGAAAAATGCAAGAATGCATCCCAGCCGTGCAGCAGGTCGGCGTACTAAAGGAATTTTTTTATTATCATCCTCATTTTGTTCTCAGTTAAATATTCTCTCTGTGTAAAAATACAGATTCAGAGTCTTCCCTGTCCTCGCTGTGCACCAGTTTGATTTGAAAGTGATTGACGCCCTGTCTCGTATCGGCATGGTCATGTCGACGTCTGAAGGTCATGTCAGCATCTGAAGGTCACCAAAGCTGGGCGGCCTATCAGGACAAAGACTCTGCTTGATTCAGAGGATCAGATTTAAAGGTCCCATATTATGCTTTTTCTGGTTTTATATGCCCTTTAGTGTGTTTTCCATGTGTCCTGTGCATGTTTAGGCACATCTATGTGCAGAAATTCAAAGTCCGCGGAAACGTGGCTTCTCCTACGTCCTCCTGTTATAGTAGAGGAACAAACCCCCAAAAGGCTTTAGTTTTCGAGATACCTCTACCCGAGGTAGAACAAAGCACAACCATATTTTTCATAACTTGAACATATGTAGTTTATGAAATGGATGGTTGTATAAAAATATTTTACTGCAAAATAACTTTTTTTGGATGTTTTATGCATCTTACCAAAAAACGAAAATAGGTCAAATTAGGGCTTCTCCAAAAGAGACAGCTCTAACCTTATCACATGTATCTCTGGGAATCAGAATCAGAATTTCACCAAATTTGGACAGGATGTTCACAGATAGTTATTAGTTTCAATTATGCAAAGTTTTTTATCAATACCATTTTCAATTTTTCAATTTTTCACACTTAAACACACATGTAGCTTAGGCAGAAATTGAAAATTGAAACAAAAATTAAAAATGTATGTGTATCAAAGTCTGTCATTTTTTAAGTAAGGACACCAAACATTAAAATATGTCATTCGTATCTTCTTTAGACTGTTATCTCAACATAAAAGCAAGTTATTTGACTTTTCACTTGACCCTATGCTGTCACCAGCCCCTAACAGGAAACTAGTGCAGCCAGAATTTCAGGGCGACCTGGTACAATGGGGCCCTATGGATGTGCATTAATGAACTTAAAATACAGTATTTATATATATAACCTTAAGTTCTTAGAAATTAAATATACTTCATATAGTCTATTTGTATATCAGCTATAGAGCCTGTTGTAGTTTTTTTAAATGTATTTCAGTCATATAAAGATGGTGTGTAGTCACCATATCTCATGCTTTTAAGAAGAACCCCAGTTACTCCAGAGGATACACTGGATGAAGGGATAGTTTTTATAATACCCTAAGTGTGATAAAGTGTTTAAAAAAAAAGCTACAATAGCTATTTTTGTTGAATGATTTATCAGGCAACAAATGGAGCTGGGATACAAAACCTTTGTGTCACACTAAGCATCCCCTGGGGACAAGGTTTGACCTCTTATCTCACAGGAGCTATAACTGCTCCCAAAGTTTCTTCATCTGGTACAGATAAGCCACGCTCCAACTGATGTTTGACCAATATTTATTCTTTTCCTTTTGTCAGCAAACACCATGAAAAACTAAAATGAAGTAAATAAAGACACAAGCATTTATGAGCACGGATGACTATACAAAAGCTAAACAAAATGTCCTTTACAAATAAAAATACAATTACATACCGTGTGCACCTTCTAACCAGAAATGTTTAGGCTTTGCAGTCTTTTAAAGTTCTTCACAGATGCGTCTCCTTCATCTGTGTCCTACCGTTGGTACTAACTTCTGGCAGCACGTTTTTATTGCTCCAATTAAACATGTGAACACTGCATGCTGAACACTCAGCGCAATACACAATTAGACCAGTAGGTGTCAGTAACAGAGCATAGAATCTGAACACATTTCAAAATAAAACATTTTCTCTGTAATTACAACAAATCCTGTTCAAAGAAATATAATGTTCTGCGACAGCTACAGGAGGTTTAAGAAAACAATTGCTGCAGAAAATAACCATCAACAAAGTCAACCAACCAACCAAAAATAACAACCATGTCAAGACATCACAAACAAATCAAGGCATCACCAAATCAAGACACCATAACTATTAGCTGTAGCATTAGCCGCATGTAACGCTCAGTTCTAGCCCCCCTCAATAAAAATTTGTCAGTGCGGTGTCATTGTCAGTGTGAGATCACTGAGCAAGCCCTGCAGCTCATGTTGAAATTTCCGAGAAGCGTGCTGAGCAACTGACCAATAACAACAGAGCGGATCGGCAGACCAATCAGAGCAGACTTGGCCCACGTGGGGTCTAACAGTGTGGGCTCAACAGAGTGTAGCTGACGGACTCAGAGCGTAGAGGGAGCAAGGAGGAGCAGTACATGAAAACAGACACTTTTTTTAGAACTTTAGCTATTGTGAACGTACAAAAGTAGGTACATAGATTAAATATATGAACCCCAAAAAGGGCATAATATTGGATCTTTAAGGTTGTAAACTTCTGAAAAATGTCTTCTTCTTTTTAGAGAAATGGAAGTAACTACTGTCAATAAATTACCCAGAATCCTTTTCCTCTGCCTGTCATGTAGTCGTATAAAGTAAACTGCTGATTTAAAGCATTCAAACAGGAAAGTCCAGTGACGGTCTAAAGGGGAACAAGTCTTTACTTCCAGCTTTTCAGTCTGAGGTCGGCAGCATCAGAGACCTTTGTTAAAGGGAAAGTTCCCAATCAGAAGGTCAGGAGGTCAACATGAGAGCTGCCACTTCCTCCTTTAGGAACTGAACTGATCTGAACTTGACCTCAGGGGGTCATGAGACATCACAAGTAAAATAATGAGTGAAGTGAAACTTCATTTAGTGGTCGGTCAAAGTTTTGATGACTTATATTTACAGATTTTTTAAAACACAGTGAGCGCACCCGTGCTGTTGGGGGTTCGATGCCATGCTCAAGGGCATCTCGGCAGTACTCAGGAAGTGATCTGGCACCTCTCCAGATACCAGACCAACTTTAGTCAACACCGAGACCTGAACCGGCGACCATCCAGTTCCCAACCCAAGTCCCTACAGTGTGAGGGACGCCCCTACAACAGGACGACCAGCGAGAAAGACCAGTTAAAAACAACGTGTGGTGCTGTTGCTCCTTCACCACCCGAGTCTCAGCAACACTGAAGCCTGGGCTCAGATATTTGGAGGAGAGTAAAGAGACTGTTCTCTAAAGGGAACTGTGCTCACAGGTTGACGCTCAGCCAGGTGAGAGAATTAGCGTGAAACACACACCTGTAGAGACGGTCCAACGACAATATCGAGCAGGTGGAAACATCTAAATCATCAGCATAGAAACAGAGACCCAGACACTGAAACTCTCGTTAACTCTTTACTTTAATGTGAAGGCGTCATAAAATGAATCTGTCATCTGCTGTTGTTTTCTTTGTGTCAAACACTGAAGATGTGACAAACACTGAAGATGTGACAAACACTGAAGATGTCAAACACTGAAGATGTGTCAAACACTGAAGATGTGACAAACACTGAAGATGTGAAACACTGAAGATGTCAAACACTGAAGATGTCAAACACTGAAGATGTCAAACACTGAAGATGTGACAAACACTGAAGATGTGACAAACACTGAAGATGTCAAACACTGAAGATGTGTCAAACACTGAAGATGTGTCAGACACTGAAGATGTGAAACACTGAAGATGTGAAACACTGAAGATGTTAAACACTGAAGATGTGAAACACTGAAGATGTGTCAAACACTGAAGATGTGAAACACTGAAGATGTGAAACACTGAAGATGTGTCAAACACTGAAGATGTTAAACACTGAAGATGTGAAACACTGAAGATATGTGAAACACTGAAGATGTTAAACACTGAAGATGTGTCAAACACTGAAGATGTTAAACACTGAAGATGTGAAACACTGAAGATGTGTCAAACACTGAAGATGTTAAACACTGAAGATGTGAAACACTGAAGATGTTAAACACTGAAGATGTCAAACACTGAAGATGTGACTAGTGATGTGAAAAGCAGTTCTTTTCAATGTACTGAATCAGTAGAATCAGTTCAGCAAAGTGATTCGTTCAAAAGATTCGTTCACTGAATCGTTCAGTACTTCTCAGCAGCTCTGTTTGCGAATCAGAATTTAATAAGCTGAAACACGGCCGAACATTTAGTTCTGCTCGCGATCATACTGAGAATAGCTGGTGGTGAATACTAAACCAATGAGCTGAGAATTTAGTTGGATAAAGCTACAGTTTGTAAACTGAAAGCTGTTGGAACAATCACATTTATTTTCCCGACTGTTCTGTTCAGTATGTTTAGTCCACGAATCACTCACTGACACACTCTCGGAGCTCTCGTTCAGTTCGTTCACTGAATGAACTGAACGAGAGCTCCGCTCTTCCTCTCAGTTTGTTCAGTGATTCACGTCGGACCTCCGTCTTACCTTCGCGTCCTGCACTGCGTCGCTCTCTGACAGCATGGAACTTCCTCAATGAAGAGAAGAAGAAGAAGAAGAACAGAGAGAGAGAGAGAGAGATTAAGAGAGAGGTGACACCCACTTCACCCACAGGAGGAATGTCGCAACACGAGGAGACGCTCCTTCTGTTACTTCTTGGAGGATGGAGAGGAAAGGACAAACAGCTGATCGCTTGAAAGCTGGAAAACATTCATGTGTCATATTAGTACATCCTTTAATAATACAACTGTGAACAACAATCCTCACAGTTGATAACCAGCCACAGACTGCGTGTGACTGAGGATGGTTTTGTCTTGTTTTTGGGATTACTCTTTTTTTCAGGATGTCAGAGTTAATTGAGTGATTCAAAGAGGAAACACATTCCTCCACCTTGATTACTATCTGTATTCTCTTTTCCATCTTTTTTTTCTACTTCAATATAAACAGAGATATAAACGCTTCCTGCACTTTTCGTTATGCAATTGGATCATTACTACAATAATACACGATATGGGGCAACCTCATGAAGCCACTTTATTGCTATGATTAGCAGGAATCCCTTTTGTTTGACGGTACACAAGTTGTTTTGATTTCATCAGGAGCTCTTTAGACTATATTACAGAATACAATTATATTGTGTCTTAATCTATTGCTTGTGGCCACCTCCTCCCACATACACATCCATAGGGCCCCATTGTACCAGGTTGCCCTGAAATCCTGGCTGCACTAGTTTCCTGTTAGGGGCTGGTGACAGCATATGGTCAAGTGAAAAGTCAAATAGCTTGTTTTTATGTTGAGATAACAGTCTAAAGAAGATATAAATAACATATTTTAATGTTTGGTGTACTTACTTAAAAAATGACAGACTTTGATCTACATACCTTTTGAATTTTTGTTTCAATTTTTAATTTCTGCCTAAACTACATGTGTTTAAGTGTGAAAAATTCAAAAATTGAAAATGGTATTGACAAAAAACTTAATTTTTTAAACTTGTTTCTAGCATTCGTTACATTATGGGATCCACTTCCACACACACAAATATTTTTAGCCTTTATATCTTAGCAGGGACCATTTACTAAATGGAGATTAGTTGTTTCTATAGTTTGCTTTTGATTACCAAACAAACTACAGGGCTGCATCAGAGCTTTACAGTCAGATTTACATCCTGCATCTCTTCTCCTCAAACTGCATTTTGGTCTTTGTCATGTATACCTTGATTGGTCATAGTGACAACTATAAAATTGTAGTAATAGAGAGTAAAGATTTTATACAATTATATAATTTGTACATTGTTCCTGTGTCTTTTACAGATAAATGGACAGAATTTGTACATTATTCTTCTCAGCTCCCTCTAGTTTTTGCAGAGCTTCTCTGGTTTCGGGCAGATGCTGCAGAGGTGCTGTCTGGCAGTGACATCACACTGTTCTTATCTTCTGACTCCTGTGCCTCTGTAATGCTAGCAACCATGCAATGAGGCCACTGAGACCTTGCAAGACAATGAGTGTACTGACTGGGAAGTGCTCATCGCCCAGACAAGTGTGGCGGAAGCTATTGATGTTCTCACAAATTATATTATCTTTGTGAACACATGGTTATTGTATTAAAAGTGATAATGATGAGAATCCAGGACCACTAACAATTTGAAAGACGCAAAAAGGAAATCAGTCTTTGCTTCAGGCAACAGGACTGAGGCTGAACTTATTCAAGGAGGCTAAATAATGAAATAAGACAGGAATTATAAGAGGCCAAAACCAGGGATGTCTTGAAAGGTGTGAAGACATTTGCTGGCCTTCCAAACACTGAAGTCCAACCTACGCACAGCTGCAAACTGGAGTGGGAGGAACTGAGTACCAACCTTACACTGATATATGTAGTCGTCCAAGGGATACTGAGGGGGTGCTCAAGAGAATACATGCAAATAAAGCCCCTGTGCCTGACATTATAAGCAGACGCCTTTTGGAGCTCCACTATAACTGACACTGGAGGTAAAAGGTAGTAAAAATAAGCATGTTTAAGGGTGTAGATACCTTGGCAACCCCATCAACGACAAGCTTATTTTGAAGAGCAGCAGTAAACTGTTATTCTAGAGTTTCTGGGCCAGCCAGAAGTATTCTGAGCTTTCTACGGATGCTTTGAAGAACCTTTACCAACCCTTTAACAAGAGTGTGAGGACTAGGAACAAGATCATCAGACAGGGACAGGAACCTCTCAGCAGCATCCACAAGAGACTTACAGGAAGACCTCATAAATTGCAGTAGAAAACGCATACCTAACACCCACTAGGCCCCCATGTCCTCTGTACATCTATATAGGTCCTTGTCACTCAGACTAAAAGGGTTTCTCCCCTCTACCCTTAAGCCCCCCTGCTAACAACACACTAACCTTTGGACACATGAATAAAGTGTTTTTTTAAGGTCCTTTAAGAATTTTACAAACACAACATATGCCATTGATGACCTGAGTCATAATTGGTTTGTGTTTGTTGAATTTGTTTTGTCTGTAAACTGTGTCAACCAAGTTCCTCATTGAAAATAAAACAGCACAAACGGAGCAGACTTGAGATGTTTACCGCTGTTTCACAAACTTCCTCCTCTGGTTTTGGGCAAAGCTGTTTTCTTGTAGTGTTGTGGTGCTGGTCTCATCTTCCGACCCCTGGACATCTGCCATACTGGCATCTGGTAACAGAAAATAGTTAAAACAAATAAACGAGACAGAAGTAGCTTTCAGTAAGCTGGCTGCATTTGATCCTTTTCTTTCATGATAATTGAGTATATAACGTGAATCTATCTATGGTGACTGAGAAAGTTGTGCAAACTCTTCTAATTTGACAGATGGGGAGTTTAAAATATAGCAAATACATTTTTTTTAAATTAAAGATTCTATAAAAGTCATCAAATATATGAATGCTCTAAATGTTGTGTGATAAGATAGTCACTTTTCCAAATGTGCATTCCCAAAAATTAACAATAAGTAGTACAATAAGTATACACATTCAGAGTAGGATGAGTAAAATTCAGAGTGCTTTCAGTCAAGTAAATTCAAATCTAAAGAGAAATACTGTTAAATTACAACAGACTAAGGGACCCGCATTTAAAAATAATTCACTATGTCAATATTAAGTTTATATTAAAAAAACCTAGTGTCGGGGTTGTATCAAGTCAACTTTGGTTATATTCTTTAATAATTATATTTAATTATTAATAATATAAATAAAATATCATTAAACTATGTTTAATCTCGTTTTGGGGCACCAACCTGTACTGAGGTAAATATAACCAAAATATCACTCAAATCAGTCTCAAATTAGTTATTTAATTACTAATATTATTAATAATTAATAACTATTTTTAATAAATTGAAGGTGTGAACAAATAACTATTATAAACTAATCTAAGCAACAAACATTATCAAGCAAGTCTTGTGGAAGGTGTGTGTGTGTGTGTGTGTGTGTGTGTGTGTGTGTGTGTGAGAGAGAGAGAGGCGGGGAAAAAGTGAGGGGGGAGATGGCTTTGTACCCACGTGGTCGCTCACGATGGCGCACACCTAACAAAGACCTGGGTGCGTGCGTGCGTGCGTGCGTGCGTGCGTGCGTGCGTGCGTGCGTGCGTGCGTGCGTGCGTGCGTGCGTGCGTGCGTGCGTGCGGCCTATGTGCGTAATAGCGCAGTGGTGGAGTTAGTCTCCAGATGTACGTTTACACGGGAATATGTGTGGTGTCTATTCGTAGAAGGGGGAGAAAAGAGGATAGAAGAAGATAAAAGAGAAATGCGTGCCTGAAGAGGCCGGATCACAGTCCGACTCCCGCACCACAACTCGGAGTAATTCCCTTCATTCACAGAAACAAACCAATAGCCGAATTCAAGTTAATACGGCTTACACTGGCCTTTCTGATCAGAAGAGTAATACCCGGTTATAACGCTGTTACACTAAACACATATAGGACGCAGCGGTCTGAAACAACAACACAAGAGTTTTAAACAGTTAAAACTCAGGACGCAGCGGTCCAACAAAGATAAAAATTACAGTTTCTGCTTCGATCAACAATTGTTAAAAACACTCTCTAAAGCTAATTCTGCCCAGACCTAATTAAGCCTCACTTGTGAATCGCTTTGTCCACGATTGGTGAAAAAAAAAGAAACAGATCTTCTGTCCGTCCTGGTGCAGAGGCGTCTGATGGCGGCGAGGGTCCCTTACGGCGAGAGCGGCTTCGTTGGTTCTCCGTTGAGTGGAAAGATGTCCTTTGATGTCCTTTTGTTGCAGGACGGAATAAGACCGTTATCTTTCTGATAATCTGTTATAGTCTGACGCTCTCCGAGAAACTGAGATGCATTCACTGGACAATCCGAGCTCGGAATTTAGAACACTGCCGGCCGCGGATTACCTGCGTGCCAAAACTTAAAACAAAGGAAGATGGTTGCAGAAAACAGGAGGTGCGCTTGTGTCTCCGAACACTTGAAGTCAGTGCGTGGAAAGAGAAAGAATAATGGAAGTCTCAGAGTTTCGTAGCCTGGCCTGCTCCATGGGGGGTCTACCTCAGGTCTCCTCTAATGAGGAGAGAGAGGTTCCGGTCCCCCTTACTTCACGCTTAGGTGTGAAGTACCGCAGGAGATTCTGGGATTAAGAGTCCTTTTAGGCCTCTTTGTGATCTCAGTGAATAACTCAAATGAGGTGCAGGCCCAAGTCCATTGTTTGACTGTCCTAAGCCTGCGTGGCCCAACACTAGCACAAATATACTACAATATCTGGGTAGATAACTTTATTAACTTCAAAAATTTAATAAAAATACCTTCAAACAGTAAACTTCCTTACAAGAGTAACAGACATGCTCATTGATGATAGTCTTTATGATTGCATCTCTCTATATGCATGCCTGGAACTTTAGTAATGGAACTTTGTTTTAAGTTTGGGAGGCACTACCCTCAAAGTGATTACCCAGAAAAAGTAATTAGGAGACTTACAGGACGGTAACAGCCTCTCCTGGGCCTTTGTGAAGCCATCTCAGACTTAAATGGGCCCTCTGCACTGTCAT